CTCAAGTCCGTCACGTCCCCCCGGCCGGGGTCTCACTCATACGTCCTTCTTCCGCACGCACACACACTAAACTACCCTACACTACTCTACTCTCTCCTGCAGCACCATCCTGCCTCCTTTTGTACATTGCTCACTTTTGGCTCCCCCGCCACCGGTCATCTCCAGATCAGGATGACCCAATGGGTTAAGCAAACAGGCCATGAACCCAAAATGTTCTTATTTCAGCACACACAAACTATTTACCCAGTGAGCTGACATAGTACAGAGGGCTTGCAGAAATTAGTTATTAACTGATTACTGCATATAGTAACTACATGTCATCTACACACTCTCACTGTATTCTATTACATATTAACTGTAGCTTGCTTGTTTTAACCACTACACTTTAACTTTATGCTACAATGAACCTCTACTCCACTTCATTTCAGAACAAATACTAAACATCCAATTTCACCACACTTAAATGGCTCAAGGTACTAGTTATTTTGCAAAACTAATCTTACATATAAAACAAATCATCACCTAATAAACTATGATAATATGATACATTAAACTACCCAACAGTATGAAGTAGCTTAAATTAACTCAGTTTGATCAAATGGAACTTAAAAATGATCCTTACATATTTATGCTTTAGCAAGAATAATTCAATACAATAATGTATAAAACTACTCTGTATTCTGTGCTTCTGTCTATTTTTATTAACTTTTGTTCATACTGCATGTTTGTACATCCAGCTAAGTAAAATTATCATATTTTTTCTTGTATCTAGGTATTTTCACATCATGGTATTGCTAATTCTACTGAAGTCTGAAGACTTTTTCAACTGCTGCCAGGAGCTGCTTTACCAGAATGTAACAGTTATTGCCATTGTCCTGTATGCCCATGTTGCAAACACCCTCACCCTCAGAGAACATAAATCACAAATGAATGTTAAATGGCAGGAACATAATGTCACAAATACAATTATTGAAAGGGTCTATTATCATACTTTACTATCATCATACTATGAGAAAGTACTGTGATATGATAATACTGCTAAATTTGCTATGTTGCACTGTACTTCTGATTCACATCAGACTGAAAGGGGAAACACTTATTATCTCTTCTCTAAATACTCCTTGTGAATGAACTTACCTGGTCAAAGACATTGTGATGTTTTGAAATCACAGGTCCTTGAAACAAGAACTTGATCACACTGAGGTCCAATATCTGGTCTCCAATGGCAACACCAATGCGATGTTTGGGCTGGGGAAATAAAACACACTCTCATAACTCTAAACTACCCACTTCCACTAAATACAGTATGCCACACAATTTAAAGTAGCCAATGTCTTTGGACTTTGAGAGGAAGCTGGAGTACCTGGAGAGAACCCATGCAGGCACAGGGAGAACATGCAGACTCCACCCAGAAAGACACCAAGTTGGCCAGGACCTGAACCCGGAGACTTCTTGCTAACCACCGTGCCACTGTGCTGCCCTAACTATACCAAGTTATTCTAAATATGTTTGTTCAAGTTAGTGTTTCCTCCAGAAATCCACAACTTAACCTCAATCATCTGCAATGAAGTTTCCTCTTCAGTAATAGCAAATACTAATCAGTTTTTAAACAATTATTTTTACAATTGCTATTATGCAATTTTGTTTTCACCCTTTAATAATTTTATTTTGCTGCTGTTTCACTAGGTAGGACCATGCCTGATGGGGCTGAAGAGCAGATTTGTAACAGCTGAGGTATGGATAGAAATGCCTGGTGAATGTTTGACTGGAGATCAGCAGTTTTGGCAAGCCTTTGAGGGCTCTACGCTGCACTTGGGCATGGCCGAGTGTGCATGTGGGAGTGTGAAGACAGGAGGAAGGTGTAGGAGATATAAAGAGGACAGGAAGAAAGACGAGTAGATGGAAGGGCAGGAGAGAGGGTTACAAAAAAAAGAAAGCAGCTGATGCTGTGTTTGTGGAAGTATTTACAGGAAGTAGACAGGGATAGGATGTAATTAGAGGCATGGTCCTGCTCCTGAATCTCCAATCAGCATCTATATTTGATTGTAAGATTTGTATTGGCCCAGGATCCCCAAGTCACTCATGGCTGATATATACCCTTGGACACACTTGGCACATATGCCTCAACCACTAAGCAAACAACCACTCTGAACATTTTTATTATCAGGCCTGTAGATGAGGGTTAGTACATCAGCTTTAGTCACAAAAACTCCTTGGTTAGAAAAAGGAAAGATTGTGTGTTGGGTTAAATAATGACTCACTAAAGTAACAACACTAAATATTGGTCTGAAATGGGAAACCAAAAGCTGTCCTGTGTTTTGCAATGGTGAAAAGTAACTAAATACATTTTTTGAAGTACTGTACTTTAGTACTACCTTCTTCTGCTTTATACTTTGGCATAATGTTATGCCAACCAACATGGCGCCCACTGAGGCGAACATGTTTGCGAGCTCAACTCGTTTTCTTCTTTTTTGTGTGTTTTTTGCTTTTTCTGCAGTGCACAAATGTCATGCACTGCTTACATACAACAGACAGGCATTGCTGGATATCGCCAACTCACAAAGCCACTGGGAATTTACTGGTTTCATACCACCGGAGCTACAACTCATTGTTCGCTCCAGCTCAGGCGACAATAACAACAATGGCGAATAAAGCCACCATCGCCCACGGGGAGCCCCCGGAGCACCAAGCACAAGCGAGCAGGCTGAAATCAGGAGAGCGACCCGAAGACAAAGACACAAACGGGGCAGGCGAGGAGGACTCCATGCTAGGCTAAAAGCTCATGCTACCTGACCGCCATTACCCAGCCTCTTCCTAGCTAACGTACAGTCTCTGGAAAACAAACTGGACAAGCTAAGGGCTAGGATTACAACACAACGGGAAATCAGAGAATGCTGTGCTCTATAGTTCTCACCGAGAAAAGTTCCAGACTCAAGTGATTCAGCTACAAACACATTCTGTACATTGAAGCAATCGCACTGCTGCTTCAGGGAAGGTAAAGGAGGTGGTGTGTGTGTGTGTTTATTAATAACTCATGGTGTGGAGATGTACGGACTGTTTATAAGCACTGTTTGCCAGACAGAGTTTTTATTGCTGAAATGCCGGCCCTATTATCTAGCCAGAGAGCATAGTGCTGTGTTTCTTGCTGCTGTGTATGTTATTTCAAGACCTAATCCCTCTGCGGCTCTCAGCAAACTCTATGATGTCATCAACGCGCTAGAGACTATTGTATACCGTCAACCTGCTCCTTATTCAGAGTTTTTAAGTGAATTCTGACTTTCTCTTTGATTTAGTGCTTAGTACAGATAAAATAATCATAGTAGGCAACTTTAATATTCATGTAGATGCTGACAATGACAGTCTCAACAATGCATTCTGTTCATTATTAGACTCAGTTGGCTTTTCTCAAATTGTAAATAAACCCACTCACTGTTTTAATCACACTCTTGATCTTGTTCTGTCATATGGCATCGAAACAAAACACGTAATAGTCTTTCCTCAAAACCCTCTTCTGTCTACCATTTTCTAATAACTTTTGAATTTACATTAATGGATTATACACTATGTGGGAAACAACTCCACTACAGTAGATGTCCATCTGGCAATGCTGTTACCAAGTTTAAGGAACTAATTCCATCTTTATCTACTTCAGTGTCAACACAGTGGAAGGAGGCCACCTTAACCTTACTCCCACACAAGTCGATAATCTTGTTGATAGTACTACAGCCTCCCTGCGTAATACACTTGATACCGTTGCCCCTCTGAAAAAGAAGGCAGTGAAACAGAGGAGGTTAGCCCCATGGTACAGCTCGCAGCTCCACTCCCTAAAGCAGGCATCATGAAAAATGGAAAGGAGGTGGCACTCCACCAAGTCAGAAGAGTTTTTCATAGCCTGGAAAGATAGTTTAATAACATATAAGAAAGCCTTTCGTAATGCCAGAACCGCATTTTATTCATCACTGATTCAGGAACATAAGACCAAGCCCAGGTTTATTTTCAGCGCTGTAGCCAGGCTGACAAAGAGCCACAGTGCTGTTGAGCTTAACATTCCCTTAGATCTCAGCAGCAATGACTTCATGAGCTTCTTTACAAATAAAATCACAACTATTAGAGAAAAAATTGGTCAGACCATTCCCACAGCTCTCGCGGCCCTAATACAGTGGCTTTAGAAACACCTGTAAGACCTCATGTATACTTGGACTACTTCTCTCCTATAAATCTCTCTGAGTTGACCTCAACAATTGCTTCACCTAAATCATCAACATGTCTCCTGGACCCCATCCTGACCAGGCTGCTCAAAGACGTCTTTCCCCTAATCAACACATCCATACTAGATCTGATTAACCTCTCTCTATTAACAGGTTATGTTCCACAGGCTTTTAA